CTCTCCCAACACAGCAGAACTGAAGCTGCACTCAGCAGACGTTGGCAGCACGGATGACTGCACAGCAGCCGGGCTGGCCTGCAGTCTCCCCCGCAATATTGGGCCGCTTCCGCCTAGATCCCTCAAGTGCCCGGCGCGTTTTAGTGACCCGGCGGGTGTATGTGACACAAGTTCCAAGCACTGCCATGCAGGTCGCGGCGCACGCGGGCTAGGTCCTTCTGCTCCACTCCCAGCTGCGGCAGGGTTGGGTCAAGGGCTTGTTGCATCCCCCTACTGACCCCAAGGGGAATGACGTGCAGGCGGGCAAGTTGGCCGGGCTGTGAGGACAGCTGCTCGATGAGCAGGCAGTGTTGGCTGTCAGCTATGTCACACACCCCGTCCAGTCATAATCCATAGTGTACTTCAGCTCAACCACATGAACAGTCTTGACCCCCTTGCCAGGCTCCTTTGGCTGCTCCTCAATCACTTTGTCCGGGCGGCTGAGCTTGCAGCTATCGGGCTGCATGCAGGCGACGGCGATCGCCTGCGCGGGGAATGCCATTGCCACCGTCGTGTTGCTCTGACCCAGATGCGCCCACACGCGGCAAGCCAGCGTCTACCCCAAGCAGTTCCGTGCGCACACGTCCATCCACAACACCTCCGGATCTGCAGCATGCGCCACGCTGCGCGCCAGCAGCTGTCCGACCGACGGCGCAGCCCAGTCACAGCCACCGAAAAAATGTACGTGCCGCCGCAGACTTGATACTGAACCTATCACCCGCAGATATGTGATACTGTGGTGACGCAGAATTTATACTAGTTTACAACGCAAAATACGGTGATCTGTGCGAAACCGCAACAGAGAGGTACCTATAAACTATTCGCAGATCGACCGTGCGAAAACCTACTGGGACTACGATATGATATGGCGGCACCGCAGAACCGTTGACAATGCTGGGTTGTGCGGGGTGTGTAAGGCTCTAAGGCATGCACCCATCCCTGTTTGTACGGTATGATAACGCAGCCCCGCAGCGTGCGCTGCAATTAAAGTACTGTGCGTGTGATTTGTAATAGTTCGGACGTGCCTTAACGGCTTCATACTTCATTCACCAGCTGGCGGATGGCCCGTCTATGACAACAAACGCTGAGCGAGCCAAAGCTCTCTATCGCAGACGTAAAGTGGTTATGCAACTGATTTTCCTGACAACATGGTCCCACACATGCTGGCAAGCCAACGGAGGCGGGCCTACGGAGTCACTGTGACTGGCATCGCCTTAGCAAGCTGCCTGACGTACGCCATTGTTTGCTATATGATGATGGCGCACATGTTGTCAAGCCGTGCAGGTGTCACGAATATCGTCCAGTGCACAAGACCCGGCCACCAGGGCTCCAGCCGCACGGATGCCGATGCCAGCAGCCGCAAGCTGAATGCGCTGCAGGCACAGCAACAGCAGCTGCAACAGCAGCTGCAGCAGCAGCCGCAGCGGCGGCAGCAGCAGCGGCAGCAATCGCAGCAGCAGCAGCAGCAGCAGCAGCAGCAGCAGCAGCAGCAGCAGCAGCAGCAGCAGCAGCAGCAGCAGCAGCAGCAGCAACCGACCTTGACATGGGCAAATTTCTGGAACTCTGAGCTTGAGAAAGGTATATCATATGATAGAGGGGCCGCACAATCATAGTGCGTTAGCGGGTTGCAAGCTTGCGGGTTGCAAGCTTGCGGGTTGCAAAGGTGACTGCATTTCAGGGTGGAAGGAGATCACGAAGTGTTCTGCTGAAGTGCTACCCTGCATGTGGCGTGCAAGTCATTCGCTGTGTTTGACATGTTTGATATCACATTTTACCGTCCTACTCGCATCAATGTGATCATTGTTTGCCAACCACCGCTTATCTCATTCCACCGCCAAAATTTCACTCTCTTCTGTGCGTGTCGAGCATGTGTTGATGTTTCCCATCCCCACCTAGCTTTTAGCCGCG